CCCTAATGTCAGGCAAGGACCTTAGACAGCAGAAATATGCAACTCTTGGAAAAGTACACACAAAGCTCTAAGCTGTGGCTGAGGCAGATTACATAAAGGTATTTCAGCTTCCTTTTACCAGATGGCTGAGCCTGCTTGAAAGCAAAACAAGACTGCCAAGCAGCATTATATCCTCATCAGCTTTCCACAACTAAGTCCTGAAACACTTTTGTTACAGCCAAATGCATCAACAAAAAAGTACAAGGTTCAGTTTTTTACTAGGAGTACTGGTTTTTCTCAAGTACCATCCCAATGTTTTGCCTCATTTTCCTCTCTTTGATTTTTAGGTTTTTTGGGGTTTTTTCCCTGTAGAGATTGTAAACAGTTTTACATGAAATCTTGCATCAGCTAAGCAGAAGATTCTCCTTTGGCAGGCAAAAATAACAGCTACCATCAACTTTATCGTGTTTCCACAAAAATACACTCCATACTGCTGACATTAAAGCACATTACAGTGAAAGGGCCCTCCAAATAAAACCATATGAAACGTAGAGTTTATTTAGGACTGTACCTGGGGCTGGCAAAGCTCGATTGTATTTGAAGGGTATTCTGTCTGCCCACTGAACCTAGAATTTTATTTTCTGTTGCAATTTTCATGTTATCAGAAGCATTGCTTCATTTTTATATTAGCATTACTCCCAATACATGCTACTCAGAGCCAAATATACAGGGCACTGAAAGTAAAATAGTAATTAATACATTTTCCTCAGGTCTCACTGAAATGTACATTTAAAAATACAATTCGTATCTAATTAATCTAATTCTAATAAATGTTCAAGATCCAGTGAGACAATAACATTTGCTATGGATGCAAATGGTTAGTCTTGTTAGAACCCTACCTTTCAAGTGGGCATCACAATAAACTCTAAAGAAAACGTAAAGAACATCCAAAACCTACTCTGGGTTGAGAGTCCATGAAGATAATCTTGCTTCCTTTGTTTTTCAAGCAGTAGTCAATCTGGGAGTATGAAATCAAACAAAAAGCAAGAGCTGCTCTTCTAACTATTCAAATAAATCTGTGTTGCAAACAAAGTGTGATGCTTTCAAGAACCCATTTTGAGCCACTTGGAACACTGCTTTGACTGCACAGAGTCTGAATGTGTGCAGCATGGCTGTGTTTTCAGTAGTTAACATAATTAAGGAGAAAAGAAGCAGTGCATGAGTGTCTGTCTCTTAACTGCCATTGGCAAAGGACTATCAAGAACAAAGCAGCTCCTACTAAGCAGAGTAATGACTTGCTGCAGACCAGGTGATGCCCTGTACTCACACCCTGGTTGAAGGGAGCTGAGCAAGAAGCCACCAGGTGATGAACTCTCATCATATGAGTGAGGGTTTTGAGAACAATTAAGAGAATCACACAGCAGACAGATGTGAAGGCATGAAAGGATTAAGTGTCCATGCTCCCACTCATGACAGAGATCTTTTGATATACAGGTGGTGAGAACAGAAGACAGGAACCAAGAACATGGGGGGATTCATGCATGACACTCATGAAAAGTTGAGGTGGACAGCCAGACATTTGTGTGTCTTATTTTGGATGGGCCTATATATACCCCTCCTACAGTTCAGAAGTAAAACATGATTGGTTTAGAAAACTTGAAAAAAATATGCATTTTAATTATTTATACTAATTATTTTCTGTACACCTGTAAACTGGAAAGCTGAGAATCACTAGCATGTTACGGCTTTTTGGGGGTTGGAAAAGAAAAGAGGTCTCAAAGAAACAGAAAGCATACCCTATTTCTAATGAAACAGCAAAAAAAAAAACCATCCTGCACCAAAATTGTTACTCCAGAGGGCAAAGAAACTGTATCTAGAATGTACTTAGTCGAGAGGACTTGAGAGGTACAGTTTTCAGCAAGTTGCCCAAATCTGAATCTGTCCTATATGTATCTAAAAAGATACAAAAGTTTGATAAGAAATGGAAATGTACTATATAGAAATTGAAAACTTGAAATTAATAATATACAATGTTAATATAACGTACTTAAAAATTAAGATAGATATATGAGAGGAAAAAATCCTAGAACAGCATCTAGAGATAAATCTAAACCAAAATGGATTAGGAGAATGTTTGCTAAAAATGGAAAATTGGGACACTGAATGAAGGTTCTACAGTTCCTCCCAAGATGTATACAGCCATTGCTGTAAAGATGTTTCTGAGCTTTGAGATTCTATACTGATCTGACTCTTGTAACTTTAAAAAGATCTACTGGAACAGAAGACAGGCATTAAAGGAGTCCAAAGACCAAAATTTTCATTGGCTTATTGATGAGTTTCCTGGTCTTTGACGAACAAAAGTAACTTTTTTGACCACTTTTCTACAAATGTAATATGTTTCAAATGCTGACCTGTGCATTTGCTCTCTGCCAAGTGTTAACGCAGATCTCTGCCTTGGAAGATGAAAACCAACTTCCACAGAACAGGTATCTCCATGAGGGTCATGGCTTGAGAGGCTAACTCAACTTGACAGACTTTTCAGTGTCAAGATCACCTCAGTGCAGGGATCTACCAGGAGACTGTTTACAAAAGTTGATGCCATTCTTTTGGAGGAAGATAACAGGAAATAAGGTAGTCTAAATAAAAAGGTACACCTCTCACAGGGGCTTTAAATCCCTCATCCAACCCAAGTGATGTTTATGCAATACAATGCTTTCAAGGAAAGTGTAACCATCCCCAAGTCATTGGTTCTGCTTCCCACTTCATACAGGAGCTTCTCAGAATTTTCATGTGGGCATATAAATGAAATTTATCTTCTTAGCAATTCACCTAATTTGACCCTAAAGATCTAATGTATAAGGTGAATCATCTTTATAAAAACTTATGCTGAGAATGCCTTATAGCTTTTTGTGCAGCAAGAAACTGCTTCTGACATCAGAGAACCGATTGACGTATTCTAAATGCATATTAGAAATAAAACTCAGGATTATTCACGCGTAGCTCTAGAGCAGAGCTGAAGAGCACAAGTGTCATTATAGGAAGCTTGCACTGTATATAATTGTACTTTTCCACTACTTGGGCTGTCTTATTAAAGGAAAAAATAAAGGACACAGAAGAGGAGCTGGGGAGCGTCAAGATGGTACAACCCATGCTCCATCTGCAGAGTAAGTCAGACAGGACTCACAACAGACTGTGGTGTTTCCCCCTGAGTTTTTCCCTGGAATGAATACTGACTGATAGTTAAAAATAAAAAACCCCACATAACACAAACACACCACCTCACAAAACTGAAAAAAAAAAAAATCCCCCACCAAACCAAGACATCTCAGAAGCCCCTGAGAATGCCAGTCCCTGCTTGCCCTACAGGGATTTGTAAGTCTCACAGTCCAATAAATAAACCAGATCATAAAATGATTAGCAGCAGTGCTAGTTAATTTATTAACTGAAAAATAACTCAAGCTGTGTCTCAGACCTCATAAATAAAGAAAATGTTTATCACTGTGTTACAGGTGGGTGACTGAAGGCTGCACAGGATCATGGGAGAAGCATTTTTTATAATATAAAAATTATAATAAATTATAATAATAATAAAATAGCTACAATTTTTTCTTCTGAAATTAAATTCTTTTGAGGCTTTTTTTGTGGAATCAGCAAAAATTATCTTAAGTGCTGTTCATCAGCATCCCCAAACCTGACTGCCTGTTCTGCTGGTCATACGGGTGAACTCAGGACAGGTGGAAGAAATGGTTGAATAAGGAAGTAGGAACAAACACTGGCTCCACAGCTTTCTATATTGCTGGAAAAGATACTCTTGTCATTCTTCTCCTTCCCCACTGGGGAAAAGAGGCATGTGCAGGTTTTCCAAGGTAAAAGGCAGAGCAGTAGCACAGGTACCCTGGAGAATACAACCTCCTTCAATTTCAAAGGCTGGTATTTGGAAACAGCACCATCTACCTGGGATCCTTATGATTTTAAGTCCCCGTGTCAACAGGCACACATCGCATTAACAGAGACTATGTGAAAGCTGAAATTTCAAGTGGGTGTTGATGGGAAACAAGTGGGAGCAATGAGTCTTTGGTAAGGACACAAACATCATACAGCACTGGAAAGGTACTCAGCTCTTGAGCTCATATCTGTGTTCTCCACTAAAGGGAAAGATAAAGAATAAACAGCACCTTTGTCACATTTCCTCAGCTGCTTTAGTAACCAATGTGCAAAGTTAAACTATGACGAATCAAATTATTTCTTTCACCCTTCTTGAGTAAAAAGGCCTTAGTCAGTGCTATGTCACCACAGCTAAGGTTGCTTTTGGAATCTGGCCTGCAATGCAGACAAGTAGGATTATCACAGTCAGTGTCCAAGGAATGGCCACTTTGCTGCTATTATGTGTTTGCTTTAATTTTCTGTGTTTTTCTGGTGCTATCTTTAAATGTTGTGCCTCCATTAGTCTCAAAAAGGTGAGATAGTAAATCCCTGATACCCTCTGAAAATAAAAGCCTGGCAGTGTTTTCTTAAAAGATGTTAAGAGTTGTAACACGTTGCACTGCTATTTTGTCTGGTTATTTGCCCCAGGCATCTTCACCAGTTAGCTGGCATTTAGAAAAGACCTCCAAAAGGCAGTCACAGCTGGATGATCTATTCACCAATATTCATTCTTCCACTCCCCACTCATCAGTGGGATTTGCTGCAAAATGATTAACTGCCTCACTGCTATCTGCACTCAGGTTCCATTAGTAACCCAGGCACTTCAGGAAATCCTGCTTAAGCTCTATCCAACCGCTGCTTGCTGATCCAACAGTCCAGCTAAGCAAGCCTGGAAAATGCGACAGGTAACCAAACACTCCTGGAACAAATTAAACTCTACAAAAAACAGGCACATCACACCTCAGGAACAAATCAGCCCCTACATAAACAGGTACCTCATGTTCTATCCTGCCTGTGTTATCTACTAACAAATACCAGGAAAAGCTCAGGTCAGGCCACAGCTGCTTTACACAGGTTGCTGAACAACAGGCCCTTACCTTGCTTGCTGGCAGACACAGCAAATCCAAGCCTTCTCCTTCTTGTGGTAAGAACTGCAGCTCTTGCAGATGTTGTACTTGCAGTCTTGGCACTGTCTCTTGCTGTTGATAAGAAATGTGAAGGGGGAACAGCAGCGAATACAGCAGTGCTCATTGAACTTCTGTTGCTTAGAAAGGATGCTGCACTTGTTACCCTCTTCATCCAACTTCTGCTTCATTTCACTGGAACAAGAAGAAAAAGAACAAAAATATAACGTAAATTCCAGTGGGAAATCTCCTCTTTGCCTTTCTTCTCTTCCCACACCTTCATGGTCCACTCTTCAAGTAACTTTTGCAGGTGTGAAATAAGTGTCAGAAATGGATATTCTAAATCCAGAATCAGGAAGCAAAACTCCTGCATTCCCTGAAGTCCCCCATGACTGATCTATTTAAACTCTCTGAGTCACAAGCCAGGGCAAACAATTTCCCTTCACTCAGCTCCAGTGAAACAGCACAAGGAGAGCCAGGCCACTCACTGCTCCAGGTACTGCAGCTGTGCAAAGCAGTAGTGTTGAGAATTCAGGGCTGTTTTCAGAACACAAATCAAAAAATCGTTCTATGAAAGTCAAAAGGTTTGGTGCACAGTGATAAAGAATTCTACCAATCAACAGTTCTGAAAATGGAAGTGCTAAGTTTGCTTTTTTCTGACCCACAGGGTATTATTATTCATAATAGCTCAAATTTGTCAAGGAAGGCTAATCTCATTTCAGAGATTTGGGTGTTTTACTAGTTAAGACCAATACTGAGCAACCTGTTTGTGAAAGTGTTTGCAGACCCCGTAAATTTTCTGTTTTGCAGCAGAAGAGGTCATTCATTAAAATAGAAAAATAAAAAAAAATCTGTGTGTGGTATTAGGCAATTTGCTATCTCCCATTTTCCAGTGCTTTTGATATTTTATAAGTTAGGCAATATATTCCATGATACAAGTAATAAGAAATATCTAGAAGGAACAGTTGTGTAAGAAGACAAGTCTGTAAACTCATCACACAGCTTCTGGCATGTACATTGGACACTTATTCAGGAACTCAACCAAGATCATCTATAAGCATCATTACGAGCCAAGCCTGGAATGCTAAGAAGACTCGCATTACTGGGCTATACATCTTCTTTGAAATTTCTGCCTCAGATTCATAACTCAAAATAAAAACACCCCATTTTATGAAAGTCTGACAGGTCAATTCTAAACCTGAAGTCTAAAAGGCAATTAAGGCAGTGATCTAAAGCATACAATTTTTGAACTTGTACATCCATCATATTTAGCTGTATTCCAGATACACACTTTTTATAAATATGAAACTTCAAAACAATATTTGTTTCTTCTGTTTGACCCCTGTACAAAGGTTTAGGTATCTCAGCCCAGCTGCTCAAGCCCAAGTAAATACTCTTTGGAGTTTCAAGTAATTAACCTTGCCTCATGATTTTTGTCCACACAGCAAAACTTAACTGGTTTTCCACATTTTCACAGAACGTTAAAGGTGAAAAAGCTAAATTATTATCACAGTCATCCTGGCTTCCTCGTGTAAACTAATACTACTGTGCCATAAATTAAATGGGATGGTTAGACTAGTTTGTCTTACCCCCATTCCTCTCTCCTACCGTGGTACCATATCACCCATCTTTCTAGGGGAGCAGAAGTCAGCTGTTCCCCACATTGCTTCTCCATCCACAGCACGCATCCTGCTCTGCAGCAGTGCAGGGAGACAGAGCAATGCTTCTGCACAGGATGCCAGGCAGGAAATCATGGTCCCAGGAGGAAAGGTGGTGAAAGGGAGAGCTACATGATGTAGATAGATTTCTGGCACCGAGAAGAAGCATCGGGAACCCAAGTTGCTGCAATCTCTGCTCCAGGCTGAAGACATCAGGCAGAAGAAGCTGGCCTCTCCATAAGAGAAGAACAGCTAAGAAGTCAAGCTCAGGAGTAGCAGTGAAAGAAGAGGGATTTTTGTCCTCATGCAGCTCTATTATCTCCCAGAATTAGTAACACTGATATTTGGTGGTATCAGGCTGCACACTCAACACTGGCAAGCTCAACAGCATTTTGAACCCTCATTAGGGCTCTTATGCATGATAGCAAGATAAACCCCAGAAGCAAAGCCACCTATTAAAGCACTGCAATAATGCTCACATAATATAAAAACGGTCAGTTTCACAACAGAGCTAATAAAGCTTGATACCTGGAAAAAACCTGAGCACATGCTGAAGTCTTTCCAACAGTACAAGCATGAAGTACATCTCTCTCCTCTGTCTGCCAGTATTCAGTACAGTGGTAGAACCTTAACATCATTAAAGCATCTGCCTCACTCTTAAGTAGGACTAAAATTGACGAAGAGATTCAAAAAGTCAATAGGACAGGGTTGGATAGGCGGGGAGAGAGAGAGCATGATAGAAAAAGGTTCATTTCCACAGGAAACCAGTCAGAACATAAAAGAAAGCAATGTACATCCCTCTGATGGCTCTAACAAATTAAGGCTCTCATGCACTACCTGCCAAAGGCTATTCTAGTTTCTATCAGGAGTCAAATGGCAAAAAGGACCAAAAGAAGTCAAAAGGCTAGTCTTGACACACTTTCCTTTCATGGATTTTCCATGAAGGTGAAGTGCTGCACAACATTGGTAAGCAACTGAATTTCCTTGGTTTGAGGAAAATTATACAGTTGAAGGGAAAGGTAAGCTCTGGTTTATTCTCAGCTATACTGAGAAAACCTCACACATGACTTCAGCTTCATGATTACTGTCAGGTGAGTGGGATGATTAATGTGGGCTCCATCTCACTACACTGATAAAGTTTGTAGTACTGGAACCCAGGAGGTTCAAGTTGAAGTTTGAGGCATCCTGAGTTTGAAAGTCTCAGACTTTACTTTCAGGATGTTCAAATAGCTTGGTGTTAAGGAGATTGTAACCATGGTCTTAGGAAAGGGCTGCAGTCAACAACAGTGGTCCTCTCATCCAGTGAAACTTGATTCTAAAAGGATGACAGTCACCCGTCCAGGAGCTGACTTTCCTAAGAGGCAGGTCAAACCACACAGTCATGGCAAACATTCCACCTTCCACCCCATGTAACCCTCAAGGAAACAGAGATGAGGAGGATAGGACAGAGAAAAGAGGGAGAATGTGTGTGCACTCGTGTACTTACTTCCCCTGCAGCATTACTTCCCCAAGGAGGGAATGTAATGTATTTATAGGGATGCCTATAATATCTGTGCAAATAAAACAAGCAACAAAAAAAGTCTCTGTACAAAAAAAAATCCCTTTTGGGGAAAGGATAGAAGAGTGGGAATCACAAATGACAATTTATTCACATCATTTAAGTCGCAACTGATAGTGCTCAGCTATTACTGTAATGTGTAACATAGCAATAACAATCAGTGGAGAAAAGAACTCCTGCTGTTTGAATGAATCCAAGATTGGATTTCATTTTCTTTTTGGAGTGGCTGCATTTCAGCAATTGCCTATAAATACAAAAGATGCAAAGAATACTCATTAGATATCCAACATGTCTGTAATCAAGACTAAATCTGTCAAAGAACATTTCATTGAACTGTAAGTTCCAAAATATGCAATGCCTATTTAGATTTTTCCAGAGGTTTGTATTAATTAATCTGTAACAGTTTGATTAATAAATATGTAATTGATTTCAGTCAATGATATACAGGGTGATATACTCCTGGCATATAATCCCACACCAAATCAGATTAGGAATACTTTCTAGCATGCTTTGGATGTAGGCTTTGCTATTGTATTCTGAGGGCGAACAGTCGGCTTCCACTCTTCACCCACTTCACTTGCTATTGCTTTTATTAAAAAAAATTTAATAAATTAAGCAGCTTTCATTGTCATTATTTATTTTTAGTGTCTTAGAGGATTTTAAATGAATTTGTGAGAATAATCTGATTTGCTGGTTTGTACAGTGGTTTAAAAATAATATGGTAGGTTAGGTATCATGTTATGCTGACAAAAGGTACTGCACAGCACACTGCCAGGGAGGACACTGCTGAAAGGTGACTGTCAAGATGAGCAGACATCCAGCACATGGTGATTCCTCAAAAGGTGGGCAACAGCTTCTCTGTCTCATCTGTCATCTTTGCACGCTTATCAACTGGCAGCCCCTTTTGTTTCTACAAGTAAGAATGCTTTAGAATTGTAAATGTAGGACAAAACCTGCCAAACTGAAGCTGCAGGATTGTTTTATTTGCTTTTCTCTGCCATCAATATACATTGATTTGTCTAAAGTCACCAGCTGTTTACATGCTTCAGTTTACCTGCTGTACAATAGCGGTATCAGTAAAACTTGCAATCAGAATAAATAAAAGTGTTTGCTCTAAATATATAGAACACCTATTCACAGCATCTTTCATTTAATGACCATATAGTCCTCGCCACTGCTGTGTTCTTGTAAGCAACATATTTACAATGAATATTCCCAGTGAATCACCCTAATTTTTATATTTTTTACCACAAGACCTGGATTCCTTTTCTAGATGCAATTCTTTTTCATGTCACTTTTACAGTATACAGCTAATTGAATTCCTACTTATTAGCAAGTAGGATAAGACACGTTCAGTGCAGGACTGCAATACCAAATGCTCTGTTGGGGCCCTGGACAGGCCTGTTCTGGTGGGATTCAACACAACTGAGGCATTTTCTCTGTGTGATTGCAACAGTCTCAGGTTCAGCTTGGCAGGTTCAAACTTAATTCATTAAAGTTTGTCTGAACAATGCCTTCTCCCCTCATAAACTTCTTTAAAACAATTGGTTATCATATATAATTGCACCTCCTGAATTAAAAAACACAAGCTTGCTTGAGAAAAGCTTTTCTGCCTTTTTCCCAAACCCACTTTTATAAAAATTACCTTTTATTTTTTTAACTGGCAGTGCCATAAGGATGCTTGTTGTTTCTCTGAGCTACAGAGTGATATTCAAAAAGCTCAATGGCTGTAGTTACTCTATATTTTAATAAGTGAAACAAAGCCTAGGTAGCCTTACATGCTTCCTCCCAGGAGGCATCACTGTGATTACACACTCAGGCCCTGGAGGCAGGTGGAGCTATAACCCCAAACTGCAAAGTCAACAGTAATATACATGTTGGCAACTTGCCACAATAAGATAATACTATGAGGTTTAAAAAAAGCTCGAAGAAAGCCAATGATGTGTTTGAGAAACAGGTTAAAAATGTCAGTGAT